GGCTGCACCGTCACAGAGGCTGGCTGAGTCAGCTGTTCACACTTCACACCTGAGGACAAGAACATGCTGACTGTAAAATCAGAATAATAACTGATTGGTCTGTGTGATGTGATCAAACTGTCAGAGACTCACAGGATCCAGCAGCCAGCAGCAGCAGCAGAGCAACAGAGAACATGTTGGTGATGAAGAGGATCTGATGGAAGCTTCTTCTTTATGTTTAACCCAACATCACAACATCAAGGCTTTATACTCACTGTCAGGAAGTTACTTTGCATAATGAGGACTCCTCACACAGAAAAAACAATGATCCTTACAATCAGAAATTTAACTCATGCCACAAATGTTTATTTTAACACATGATTATGCTTTTATATGATATTACCGTTGAATCAGTGTGGAGGATTATCCGCAGCTTAAAATAAATGAACTTTAATTTAAATGTTTGATATTTTATCTGAGGATGCTGAACATCACGTGCAGTTTTCCAGCCTGAAGTATAAACAAGAAACAAGACTTCTTTTCATTTTTGTGATGTCTTGTGCAAAATGTTTCATACACTTTTTTAAAAATGTTTGATTTTTCTTTTGTGGTCAGATGGCTCCTCCTGTGGTGACTCCATGTTGATGCACTGAGGGGTTTTTGTACAGTGGTCCTTGTTTTTGTGTCACTGTGGCTCTTGAGCACAATAATAAACAGCAGTATCTTCAGTCTTCAGATTGTTCATCTGCAGATACACCTGKTWTCTGCTGTTGTCTCTGGAGATGGTGAATCGGCCTTGAACTGACTGAGAGTAGTAGGTGCTTGTGACATAAATAATAGCGATCCACTCCAGTCCTTTCCCAGGAGTCTGTCTGATCCACGCAATAGTAGGATCACCACTGAACCCAGAATAAGTGCAGGTCAGTCTGTGGGATTCTGCAGGTCTTTTAACAACTGATTCAGACTCAGTCAGAGTTTGACCCTCAGTTCCTACAGAAATAAACAAAAACAGTTCAGAAATACAGCCAAATGTATTTTTCCATCAGTCTTTAAAAATCTACATTCTTACCATCCAAAGCACACAACAAAATGAGTAAAAACACAAAACAAACAGGTCTGATCATCTTAAAGGTTATTTGTTGTAGTCCTGCAACCATCTGTCTGAGATTGAGTCACTGATCAACAAACAGTATTATGAAGAGCTCCAAGATGTCAGTTTTGCATTGACTCCTCCTTTACACACAGACACACACTCACACACACATGTTCTTGAACCCCGTGGGGACTTTCCAATGACTTCCATTCAAATTTTGGTAATTTCATCGCCTAACCCTGACCATTTACACTAAAATTAACCTCCGGTTTGTCTTAAAATTGCCCCCAAATGTCACCAGAAACAAACAAACACACACACACACACACACACACACACACACACACACACACAC